TGTTAAACAGCGCCGAGCTTCACCGTAGGTACCGTTTCCCTGGGAACAATTTCGACTCCATCTATCGCATACCAAGCAAGGGCATTCATCCGGAATTTGGCTGCACCAGAATGCCTTCTAGTCCTATACGAAGAACTGTCGGACCCAGACAAATTACGGTACAGTATCCCCTTCTCTAGAAATGTTGGCATCAGCGAACTGATTTCGCAGCAACGGAAGGCTTGATTGTGCTGAGCCGATGTAGATCTGGAACCAAGACCACACGTTAGTGGCGCAGCCCATCACTAATCCGCTCCGTCTAGGTCGCCTACTATTCGATAAAAATATGGAATTTCCCGGGACTGAGGTGGGTAGCGGCTGGCACGCTTACTACGCGCACGGTCTGGGGTCAAATCTCGGATCAGCCCTCGCAAAGGCAAATCGAGTCTTCTATCTCTGCGGACGGTAAATTGATGCCAAATTGGCCCGGGAGGATAAGAACACGGAGTTGTACTTTCACCGGCCCCCGTAAGTCATTGTATAAGCCCAAAAGCATTCATTAAACCACTACGATTCTGAATCGGAAGTAGAATGCGTGCCGCATCCCACAAAGGGATTAATCACGGCGAAGACTTTACCCTTTATCCTAGAAGAATTTCTTGATAGTATATGAAGCGAGTAGTCATGAGTTAAGATTTATTATAAATGCAACGCGCGTGAGATACAAAAAAAGTGAGAATAAATGCAATCAGAGAAAAGCACATTAGAAGAAACCTGAGAGTAGGTGGTGGTGGTGTTCACGAACATATGGATGAGTATCAGTGATATCGGCATGATAAATGGTGTTCAGGACGATGTCTCTGGGGCAATAACTGGAGCTGATTTCTGATCGATTAGAAATCCGGTTCGATAGCCGAACTCGGGGAAGCATCGTCGCATCACACTGTCCCATTCCGCTCTTTTCACATCGTTACTGAAAACGTTGGCATGAGATTCTGCAGAAACTTTGAAGGACCATAAGTTGTCATTAGCGTGGCCCCCACTTAATCTAACTGCCAAGAAAAATGATGAGAGAAATTATTCGAAAATATTTTATCTAAAAAGTTCCTACAATTCCCTCAGGTTGGTGAGGCAAGTGAAATCGAACAGATCTCTCGGAAAACTGCGCTCAGAAATGACCACTTCCGCGCACTAACTGCCTATTGGCTATGACATGCAGTCTTTTTCGCTGCGGGCGCAGATGGTCTGGGTTTGGCGTGATGCTAGCCAGTTTTCCACCAGTTGTGGTCACCTGCTAGCTTCCACAATTGGTGGAGAACGGGTTGGCGCCGTGCCAAACCCAGCTCTCTGACACGCCCGAGCGTCCGCAGCGAATGAGACCGTACTGACCGACTGACCTCCAAATGGCGGCATCCCTCCTCTGAAGTCACCGAAATCTCGTCAAAAGCCCATACCATTTCATAATGTACGCCGTAGGAAAATGAGAAGTGCTGCACAAAAAGAAAACAAGGACAGAACGCAAAGGCGCATCAAGATTAGGACAAATTCGAGAGATCCCATAAGCTTTCTATAAGGGTAAGCATAAGAAACATGAGGAACAGTTCGGCGCGACGCGGGGCAGGAGGCGGCGGGGCGCGTTGCATTTTGCACTTTTTGGCCGCTCTCATCAACGTTTCGAGCCATTCGAGATAGGCCTCACGAGGTGCTTGACAGATTTTTACCATGCTTGGCTGGCACGAGCATGCTCCAGCTGCCCCACAAAAGCTTCACGAGGTTTCACGAGCCAGCTGAGGACTGTTAACCCGGAACTAGTGAAGCTGCGAAAGTGCAAAATGCCCCACCCCTCCCATCGCCGAACAGCGCCCCGACATAGGACATGTCTCCTGTATTATGATACCGTACCTAATGTCTACTGGATCCATGTCCTCTCCATGGGTAAGTATGCAATGTTTTCGCATTCCGGGTTTCCTAAAATACCAGAATTAGACAAATAAGGAGGAAGATCATCAAGTCCAAGCATGAAAACGAACCGATAGTCTTGAAAATCACAAGAACGGCATTTATATGGTCGAAAAGACGAATGCATTGCCATGACGTGCATTTGAAGATTCCATCGGGCCATCCTCGCGCGGCGCTTTCCACTCGTGGTCCCCACACAGTCTGGAACGTTGTCCACATTGGGGATGTGACGTCACTTGGACCGTAAACGCTAGTGATGACCAACCTGACAGGTGTGATAGTCCTTATTTGGATCGCCGTTTGAGTTCCGAGATCGTTTCGCAGTCGGCGGCGACGTATCTCGCGGTGGACTACTTACCAGACAATGCGCCTGCGCTAAGAGGTCAAGATGGGCTGAAACACACTTTCAATGAAGGATAGCTACACTATGTAGTTATTTGTAAATATAAAAAAAGGTAAATTTGGCGCAGTTCGCGCAGCGGGGGGCGGCGCATTTTTGTTACTTTGCTTCTTCCCATCGACGTGTCAATCTATCTAGAGAGCCTAACGAGAGTTAACAGGTTTCATCACTGTGGCTCGATGAGCTTGCTCCAGCTTCACAGGAGTTCACAGGTTTCACCAGGCAAAGTATGCAAACCGGAACTAGTGGAGCAAGGAAAGTGCAAAATGCCCCCCCCCGCCGCCGGTGCTGAACTGCGCCAGTCTATTGAGTTATGTGGAGATCTCCGGGAACAACACGGCATTCTATGCCGATATTCATTTGTTTCAAAGCCTCCCATTAAGAGTGGCGTCATATGAGCGCAATTCTCCTTCCGTGCCAGCGCTCTCTTTTATTAGCAAAATACGAGGATTTTTCGTAATACCGAAACCCCACACGACGCGTTAATTCTTATGAGTGAGATGATTCTGACAGAAAAACTTGATGGCCTATGTTTTTCGAAGGTACGCCATACCAATACTGGCTGTTGCCAGGACAGCAAGATAGTGGAAACCGCGAAAGTCCCCTCGACCAGGAGCGAATACACGATTTTGAGCGATGGCCGTTCTCAAGCGAAATTTCCTAGGTCCCTTACTGACGAACCAGATTCCATTTAGAGGACAAAATGGCTGATCACCCTCGACTTTAACAATGGGCAGATTGTGTGAACGATCTTCTAAAGTCAAGTACATTCCACACTTGCCACATGGGCGGGGCCGGACCGAACGCTGGCCTTCCTCACTGGCATACTCTTCTTTCATAGAGTCTTACATTTAGATCAAGGGATGCATCGATAATTAGAGCGCAGTGGCTGACTGTATGGGTCCACGCAACAAGCGCGGAATGTTGCTCTGAACCAGGTCGTCTCAGAACAGGACCCCTGCTGGTTGACGAGCAATGGAACGCATGGTGCTAGAAAGCGAAAGGAAGGGGGGTGGGGGAGCGGCAGAGGTTGCCAATTATAGGAAGGTTCACACCACTATTGGCCAGTTAGCCCGCATTTCAGCCCAAGTTACCTATTACCCACGAAGAACATTCCCGACATCTTCAAAACGGGGAAAAGAAAGAGCGATCATCACCATTGTCCCAGTTGGTTCTGCAGTGTAGGTGTTTTTATTGCACTCTGCAGAAGTTTTTCTTTCACTGGCACAATACAAATTTTTTACTCCTTACAATCGTTGCAACATTCACCTTAAAAGGGGAACCTTCATTTGGAAGAACACATTGTCATGCCCTTGCAAGCGGTTAAACGAGCTAAACCGGAACTACTTTGTTTCACTCGATGTAAGCGCTTGACGGCCATGCTAAAATATTCGTTTAGGAGAGGAGGGTATAACTAGTCCCTTCCTTTTCAAGTTCTGGTTAACGTATGCAAAAAATACCCAGATGCCAGTCATACGATTGTCGAACTACTAATTATTAGAGGTTCTTCGCTAAGTAAGCTGTAGCAGAACACGAACACAGCCAGACAACCAGAAGTGGCAGAAAACGAGAAGTGGCAGAAACTGGCCCAGGTACTACCCACGCAGATCTGAGATGCAACGCGAATTTGGCAGGTTATGCTACGAGGGAAACTGGTAAGTTCATGATGACTCAATGCCTTTACCGCAACTCCTAGTACAATGCCCCTCACAGGGCACACCACTAATTGTTTGGTCGAGTGAGGATTTTGGTCGAGTCCGTACGAAGTTTGTTCCTACTCCCGAAAGCGAACGACCGAGAAAAAGTTTCTCCAATGCCACCAATTCCTCCTAGAAGCAACTGTGATCTACCCTCCCTTCTCCCCAGCGACCAAATAGTATAGGTGTTTTTATTGCAATTTGCAGATTTTTCTTCCAACTTGGCACACTACAAATTTTTGGCGACTCTTTCTGTTGCGGAAATCACCCGATGCATGATGATAGCACTCTGCCCCTCAAACCTGAAGTCTATCTTTCCGTAGCGGCGGGAGAAGAGCCACGCGATTATCTATACTAAAAACAGAGAAATCTTGGCGCTGTTCGGCATAGGATGGGGGGCGCAAGCTAGTTTTTACTTGAGTTTACATGTCTTTACAGGAGGCAATGATGATGGAAAACAGCAAAATGTCCCCATCAAGTCGTACTGCTATCTGTTCTTCACACCCCTCTCTGAACCAAGGAAATATGATCCTCTAATGGGAATGCGTACTCTTTCAGGGGACTACGGGCTGCCCTGTGTGCCAGTTCGCCTGTTTTTGGGGTGCTAAAGCCATATATCGAGCAACCAAAACCCGTTATGCATCAGGTGCTTCACAGACGGCTTCCGATACTCCCAGGTAGAAGCGGTACCTCAGAAAGGCTCTTTAAACAGCCGTTTCAGTTGAAGAGCAAACATTGTTTGGCCATAATAAAGAAGCGCTTTACCAATTGCCCACCCATCCGCACTTGGGCGTGCCTCCTTAGTTCCCATTCGTACCGGCAGCAAAGGGACAAAACGTAAGCCGGTTTCTCCAAGGGTGGAACACTACTCTAGTAAAGCGTCAGGAAGGTCCTTTGAAGGGTGAAAACTCTCCAACCAGCAGTAAAGCTGAAACAACGATACCGCTGTAAAATATGATACGGTATTTTACAGTAATAAACCGTCAAGTAAATTTCTGGTAATCTTCGCCTTCCGGAAGTCAACCGAACTGCTGTTTAATTTCATGTTAGGATATGCCATGGTGATGAGAACTTGATTAACTGCTTAGCTCGACTAGCAAAGTTCCTTCAAGGTCACCCCAAGTGCCACCTGCCACCCCTGTCCCACTTCACTAACCCAAGAAAAACTTCTCGACCCAGACAGTGTCTTTCAGAGACGATAAAAATCTGCGGAAATTTTTAAGTTCTCCAGAACTGCCACATCTTCCGCCATACCCCCCTCCGCATCTCCCCCCCCCTCTCGACCCCAATAAGTCGAATAAACTCCATGTTCTGTGGCTCAAACTCGATCCTCCTCATTTACGACTCTCCAGTTCAACCCCTATTTAATATTTCGTGATAGCACATTGTCTTACTTTGGCTCGTTGATGCTAAGTCGAAGTTGAAGGAATGCTCTTCGTTGTCGGCAAACGAATCCTCGACGCAATCCTAAATAAACTTTTTGAGTAGATGTGATTCAACAGGTAATCGAAACGCCATTATCAAGCAGGAAGAGTAGGCGGAGCGCAGGACGGACCGTTGCGCCATCTTTGCACGGATTGGATCTTCCACTGGGTTAATCCTCTTGATCATCACTTTTCAAGGTTATTCATGCCCACCGTATAGGGAGTGGCGAGTAAGCTTTTGAGAGCAAAAAGCCGCCTTCAAAGGAGCATTCCGCAATCAGCGTGTGGGCGCGAAACAATATTTTGGGTTCTCTTTCTCTTTGCCTTCACTACCTGTTGGAAGGGGCCCACGAAAGACGATAGAACAATGGTTACTGGTACCTGCCCCTCTTCACGCCTGTCAGATCATCGCGTAATGTGTCTCAAAAACACCTTTTTTAGCCGTAGACACAATCCAATTAAAAGTTGACAGGACCGTCCGTCCAAACACTGCCTATCCTGAGCTCCTTTGGAAATATGAGGACTTAATAACAGAAGAGCTTAATAGGAAGAGTTCACTTAACCGATTCATCCTTCACCCGTACATTGATGATTTCCGGATTTGCGCAGGCAAGTATCTCAAACAGGTCGCTTTCCTGTTTTGAGTCATCGAAACCACATGCCGATAGTAATGACTTCGGTTTACTCGATAAGATGTCCCTGAAATGTGAATCACTATTCATAGTAAGAACTTTCTATACTTGAACTTACAGTATGACATCCATACTTCGACTTACAGTATGATATTCACACTTAAACTGACGGTATTGCACATGGGCACGAATCTTATTGCGATTGGTTGCTTCTTCGCCTCGAAGCGAGCATTTAGAGAACCCCTCGCTAACAAATCTTTATGCTATGTGTATGGGCCACATAGTTACTTCGCGCAGTGTGAAGGAGCTCGAAGTAGGTCAACCATTTTCGTTGGGATTTCGTGCTATAGTAATCGTAGTTGTGCGCGGGGAGTGTTTCTGCTCCATCTCCACGTCGCCCCCCCCCCAATTAAAATAAATAGCGTCTTGTACTCTTCTCGAACAGTTCTATAGATGCCTCTCTATTTTGATCTCAGAGGAACTGGGGGAGAGGCAGAGGTACGCCGCATCGTGAGCGCCTGCTTTGGGACAAGATCCCGTACACACCGACCAAATTGCCATCTCAGACCAGAAAATGACATTGATGGGCGATTTTCATTCTTATAGGACCAGCCCACTTCGAAAGCTCCACCCCAACGACTCTGACACCTTCCCTCAATTCCTGTAGTTTGACAAGTGTGGATCGGAAAACGATCCTACCTTTGTGAATTTTTCCTGCTATTCCCTATGAGCCGAGCTGAGGACGAGGGTGAGTGAGACCATATCCTATTCCTCCACGACCACTGAATCTGACCACAATCCCTTCCGTAGCATCAACAAGGGGCAGAATGCTGCTCAGTGAATCACAGTCTACCACCCAAGAATTTTCGTCCCCACCTTTAGCCGGAACCGATTTCCTTAGCGTTTAGATTGGTACTTAGACGTCATAGTACAGAGCTGCAAGACTGCAGCTAGCGATGCAAAAACACAATTTATCACTTGGCCTTCAAACGACCGCCCACTGCACCCCGAATTCTACCTGTTTGCTCCTTTTTGTCACAACTTTGCAGACTCTGTTGACGTTTATCAACCCTTGCACTATATCGTAATCTCTCTCATTTCAAGCAATTATAAATAATAACGATATCGTATTATATAATTTCGTATCATACATCACCCCGTATTATATAATATCGTATCAATTAATAATCACAGGCATATTCCGATACGAAAACTATAAACCCCCCTCAAACTAATAGTTGATCAATCCCTTTTTGGGATGCGTCATGCATTCGACTTCCATTCAGAATCGCAGTGACTTATTGAATGCGGTGTGGTCTAAACTTGCGAGGGCCAGCCGATGTACAAATCCTTTGTTATCCTCTCAGACGAATGTTGTGCCAATTTAGCGTCCCCGTGCGGTACAAAGCTTGGTCAGCCCTTGCGGGAGCCGACCGACGGACGGACCGCGATGTGGTAAGTATGCCACTT